TTTGAAAAACTCCGCCATGAGATCAATGTTTTTGGTTTCATGCCTGTCCCAAGCCAGGATAAAGGAGGAGGGTGCTGTGGTAGGCGCGTGACGGCCAACAGTATTACCTAGTCACATCACATGACATGAATCGAAATATGGATATTGCTATAGCTAGGTCGTCGCCCGTAAGCGACGCGTCATCCCTCCGCCTGGGGGTGGTGTCAAATATGCAAGGGCGCGCTACACTTCATAGGCCTGGGTGTGGTGATAAGAATGTTAAGGTTGCTAGGTCGTCGCCCGGAAGCGGCGCGTCATCCCATTGCCCGAGGATGATGTCAAATATGCAAGGGCGTGGTGGGGTCCGAGGCGGGGCTAAGAACAGAAGGTGGAGTGCTAGATTGCGCTTTGGGACATGGAATGTTGGGTCTCTTACAGGCAGATCTTCCGAGGTAGTCGAAGTTATGAGGAGGAGGAATATCGGCATTATGTGTGTGCAAGAAACTAAATGGGTTGGAGAGAAAGCACGTGAGATTAATCCCGGAGGTTTTAAGTTGTGGTATTCGGGGAGAGATAAGACCAGGAATGGGGTAGGCATTATTGTGGCACGTGATTATGTTGAGGATGTGGTAGAAGTCTTCAGGAAGAACGATCGCATCATGAGCATTAAATTGGTGATGAGGGGTGAGATTGTGTCTGTGGTAAGTGCCTATGCACCACAAGTGGGATTGGATGCATCTACAACTCAACAGTTCTGGGAAGATCTTGAAGATGTGGTGCGACGAGTGCCAAGAGGAGAGAAGTTGGTCATAGGAGGCGACCTCAACGGGCATGTGGGCTCGATTCGTGATGGCTTTGAGAGTATTCATGGCGGACATGGTTTTGGCACTAGAAATGAAGCGGGAAAGAACATTTTGGATTTTGCCTCAACATATGAGTTGGCTATAATGAACACTTGGTTTAGGAAAAGAGACTCTCACCTTGTAACCTATAGAAGTGGAGCTAATAGTACCCAAATTGACTACTTCTTAGTACGTACTACTTGGAGAACTAGCTACACCGATTGTAAGGTTATCCCAGGTGAGAGTGTTGTCACTCAGCATAGGATGCTTGTGCTCGACTTTCGAGGTAAGAACCATAGAAGACAAGTTAAGCAACAAGTGGAGCCAAAGATAAAGTGGTGGAGGCTTGAGGGGGATCTTCAACAAAGCTTTACACACAAAATGTTCGGTGAAGATGTATGGCATATTGATAATGGAACACAGGTGGAGGATGCATGGTTATCGATGGAGCTGACCATTAACAAAGTGGCAAAGGAGGTACTTAGAGAATCTAAAGGATGTTTGCCACCCAAAAAGGACACGTCTTGGTGGAATGATGAGGTGAAACAAGCCATAAGGAACAAAAGAGATTGCTACAAAAAGTTGGGGATAAGTAGGAGTGATGAGAGCATAGAATCTTACAAGGAGGCTAGAAGACAAGCAAAGAAAGCCGTAAAAGAAGCACAAGGGAAAGTGAACAAGGAGTTGTATGAAAAATTGGACTCTAAGGAAGGAGAACAAGAGATCTATAGACTTGCTCGTCTTCGTGATCGCAGGACTCAAGATATCGGAAAAGTTAAGTGTGTGAAGGATGTTGATCAAAGGATATTAATGGAGGACAGAGAGATAAAAGAGAGGTGGAGATCATACTTTGATACATTATTCAACGGGAACAAAGTGCAAGATATCGATGATTTGACCATACCAGATTGTATGGTAAATCGTGATTTTGTGAGAAGGATCCAACCAACGGAAGTTAAAGAGGCTTTGAGGAAGATGGGGCGGAAGAAAGCAGTGGGTCCAGATGGCATACCGATCGAGGCTTGGAGAAGTTTGGGAGAGAGAGGCATCGGGTGGTTAACAAATTTCTTCAACAAAATTTGGAGAAACAACAAGATGCCAACGAGTTGGAGAAAGAGTACTCTTATTCCCTTATTTAAGAATAAAGGTGATGTACAAGAATGTGCCAACTATCGAGGGATTAAGCTTATGAGTCATACCATGAAACTTTGGGAGCGATTGATTGAGCAAAGACTTCGAAGAACGGTGAAGATCTCAGAGAACCAATTTGGTTTTATGCCTGATCGCTCAACAACTGAGGCTATTCACCTTCTTCGGCAACTTATGGAGAAGTATAGAGACACTCACAAGGATTTGCATTTAGTGTTCATTGACCTAGAAAAGGCATATGATAGGGTACCTCGAGAAGTTCTTTGGTGGGCCTTAACTAGAAAAGGCATTTCACGCAAGTATATCAGCATCATCATGGATATGTATGAGGATTGTACTACAAGTGTCCGTACTAGTGTAGGGAGGACTGCGGAGTTCCCTATTACTATCAGAGTGCACCAAGGATCGGCTCTTAGCCCTTTTTTATTTGCCATAGTCATGGATGAACTTACAAAGTCAATTCAAGACGATATACCGTGGTGCATGATGTTTGCCGACGATATTGTATTGATTGATGAGACGCAATCAGGGGTTAAAGCAAAGTTGGAAGTATGGTGACAGACATTGGAGAACAAGGGTTTCAGACTAAGTAGGAGCAAGACAGAGTACATGGAGTGCAAGTTTGGTGGAGGTAAAAGCAGTGATAATAGCGGAATTACTTTAGATGGTAAGGAGATACCAGTCAGCGATACGTTCCGTTATTTGGGCTCCATAATTCAGAAAGACGGTGAGTTAGATGGAGATGTATCCCATAGAATCAGAACAGGGTGGATGAAGTGGAAGAGTGCGTCAGGATTTCTATGCGATCGAGGTATGCCGACTAGACTGAAGGGTAAATTTTATAGGACAGCAATTAGGCCGGCATTACTGTATGGCACGGAGTGTTGGGCGGTGAAACAATGTCACATTCAAAAGATGAGTGTGGCAGAGATGCGCATGCTGCGTTGGATGTGTGGGCAAACTAGAAAGGACCGCGTGAGGAATGAGACAATTAGACAAAGGGTGGGAGTAGCACCTATTGAAGATAAGATGCGGGAGTCACGCCTACGGTGGTTTGGTCATGTGCATAGAAGACCGAGTGATGCACCTGTCAGACGAGTTGAGATGTGTGGAGAAGAGGTAGGGAAGAGAGGGAGAGGAAGGCCCAAACAGACGTGGGTTAGGGGAGTCAGAAGTGATATGCTTCTTCTTGGATTGGATGAGGGTATGGCTTTGGAGAGAGCAAAATGGAGGGCGTGTATTCGTGTTGAAGAGTGATCTTGTATCATCTTTTTTTCTTTCTTCTTCTTCTTCTTTTTTTTTCCTTTTCTTTTATATCTTTATCCTTATATATAAATATTACTTTATCCTTTTTATTTGATCTTTTATATGTATATTCATCTCTTTTATATTATCTTTTTTTTATAATAGCTTATCTTTTTTATCTTTATTTTCTTTCTTTTCCTTTTGGTGATAATGTGATATCATATATCGATTCATGTTAGCCGACCCCAATATCATTTGGGACTAAGGCTTGGATGTTGTTGTTGTATAGTTTTGAAATTATAGATTTAAGGGAAAGCTGTCAATTTGGTCCTCGTACTTTCATGAAAAAGTCAATTAGGTCCTTGTACTTTTAAAAAGATCAATCAAATCCTCGAACTTTTTAAAAACGTTCAATTGAGTCCATTTGCAGGTTATTTGGCATGTCAACATGTCATGGTAAATTCCATCGTACAGCCGGCTGTACGGTGAGCACCGTACAACCAGCCATTTTTGTAATTAAATTTGGATCGCTGCTACTCACCAACGAAGAACGATAGCCAAAGCCGTCGCTGCAACTATTCTAGGTTCCGATTAACATGCTTCCCCGTTGCTTACTGCTTCTGCAATTTCACAAATCTTATTCCCTGAAATTATAGTTTTTCTTCTCGTTCTTTCTAAGCCATCTCACGTAAAAGAAAATTCTCAAACAATAAAATCAAAGGTCACCATCAAACTTTCCACCTCTATGAAATTATATCTGCAAATAATTGAATCTTGATAAGATTTATCTCCACTTCTATAAATTAGGAGCTCTATTCATTCAGGTTTGCATTTATACTGCGAGAGTCATTAAGAGCTTTTGATTTTTCCCATACTCATTTTGTAAGTTGTGTATGCTCAATTTTTACCGGTGTTTTGCTCATTATATTTTGGCCGCATAGTTTTAATACTCAATAGAATAAGTTTGATACTCAATTAAAATGTCTTCATGGTCAAATGAGTATAAAATTGAAAATGAATGAGCATACACAAATAAGCTTTTGAATTTTTTTATACTCATTTTGTAAGTATGTATGCTCATTTGGAATCGCTTTATGCTCATTTTAAAAGACTGCACATTTCAAACACATCATACCACATTAGAAATGAGTTTTATGTTAAATTCAAATGAGTATAACGTCCAAAATGAATGAACACACAAAAATACGATTTAATATTTTTATACTCATTTTGTAAGTTATGTGTAGTCATTTCGTACTGCTTTATGCAATTATGCTCATTTTAAAAGGTTTCACATTTCAAACATATCATACTACATTAGATTCAAATATTGAAATTGATTCAAATAATAAACAGAAAGTGATATATAAGGTATGAAACAGATATCACTGATGCTCAGCGTTAGGCTTCTAATACTTAAAAGAACATGTTTGATGCTCATCAAAATTGCATAAAAATGCTCATTTAAGAGAATCCGCATTTTTTACAAAAAAATTACAAGTTTGCCACTGGCTGTACGGTGGTCACTGTAGAGCCGGCTGTACAGTATACGACTCCAGCATGTCATATGCTGATGTGGCGCACATGTGACTGCCCAGTCAGCAATAATTTTGCTGACGAGGATCTAATTGACTTTTTCATGAAAATACGAGGATCAATTTGACAGTTTTCTCTATATTTAATGAAACTTGAGCATACACCTATAAAACAACAATTTCAAAAAAAAAAAAAAGATAAATTTTATTCAGGACATAACATTGAAATATTATTTCAGATTTTATGTTTGCTTTTGTCGTTAATCGTATTTGATCTAAGACTTCTTTCACCGGTGCTATCATTTTAAAACTAAATTCAGATGTTTTTCACTTTTTTGTTCCAATACCAAATTTTCAAACTTCAAGTCCATAAGCTTTTTGCTGTGCAATTGGCAAAAAAAGAAACAGAAAAACAGAGCAGCAGCAGCTTCAGAAGTAAACAATCTGATCAAGAATCATGACTATACACTCCCAGAGCTCGAGAAATGGCATGGACTGTGAAATGTTCCGATCTCAAAACATCTGGTGCGGTGATCTCAACTCCATTAACTGTTACGCTTTTGGTAACATTATCAACACTGATCATCAGCTCTGCACCTGGAAACAGAGTCTTCAGAACAGACCCATTTGGCAGAGACGCCAGTTCATCAAAACGATACATCCGAGGCAGTAAATGAAGCTTCACCACTCTGTCCAGCAATGGCGACGGCGAGTCCAAGAATCCCAGGCTCGGCGGCGCTAAGACGGTGACGGAGCCCATATTCACGGCGATGGTGTCAAGAACAGAGTGGAGTCCGATCGCGAATGACACGAACCCGTTAGAGCTCAGAGACCGGACGATTCTTGACCATTGGAACTCCGATTCACACGCCGGCGGCGACTGAATGATATCATCCCTCCGGTTGAGGTTCACCGGCGAGAAGAACCCGGCTACTCCGTGGACGACGAGGCGGTTTCCGAGGAATAGATCTGGGTATGTGATAGAAACATTGTTGATCTCAAAATGGCCGTTTTCTTGATCAATCTTGGAGATCTGAACGGTCCGGTCATGGAGAAGGGTGGAAAGGCAGGTGCCCGGAGAGTTCTTGAGAAATGATCGGAACGGAAGCGAGGAAGGGGAGGTGTGGTAGAGGAGGAGGTGCTTGATGGCCCAAGAAGGGAGGGAGAGGTTCGAGAAGGCGGAGTCGGGGACGGCGAACACGGTGGATTCCGGCGGAGAGAGGAAGAGGTCCGGGGAGATCTGGAGGAGGGCGGCGAAGACCGTGAAGCCGCCGCGGTGGCGGAGAGCGAGGGAAGCGTTGATGGAGAGGCTGTGATGAAGAAGTGGTGCGGGTTGAGGGCTGTGATTGGAGTGGTGGATGCTGGTGGAGATGCCCACGAACGCCAGAGCAATGGAGAGGGAGACGTAGAAGGGAGCGTGCCACCAATGTGAGCAGGAATCCGCCGCCATTGTTGCCAAATTTACTTCTTCTTGCTTCCTTATCTGGGGCAAAGAGAGAATTTCTGCTGAAAAAGTTGAAAGATTGTTTCTCCATAGACTCGTGGGGTCGAATCCCTTATTCATTAGAATCTTAAATACTTTCTCTGGTTCTTAAATAAATAGAACGGTCCACATTTCACACTTGTCGAGACATAACTTTGACTATTAATATAAATGATTTTGTATTAGTAAAAAAATTAGATTATGAGAATTTACAATGAGACAAGTTTAACAATTTTTTTCCATAAAATAATATTATTACATTAATAAATAAAACGTAGGCAAAGTAGAACATGTGAATAATGTAAAAGTCAAAAAGTTGCATTTATTTAAGAACGGAGGTAGTATATGAGTATTTGCCAACAAATCATTCTTCTAACAGAAGAGGTCAAATTGCTTCAAACTCAAATGCACACAAGGAATCATCACATTGAGTGAAACCGATGTAACACGAAAATTGTCAGTGACGGGTACGTTTCCTTTTCGGAAACTCTACGGAAACTCTTCGAAAACTCTCCAAACAAGTATTTTTTGAGCAAAAGTTGGCGTTTCCCGTTTTCCGTTTCCTAATGATTTTCACGTTTGCGTCAACATAGAGTGAAAATGTTACATTGTCGTTGTTTCGGAGATTTAACCTGAGATCTCAATTCAACCGTCTCATCCAGTCATTGTCGAGTCATCCGCTAGAGTAAGATTAAACCGTTCTTCTTAGATTGCCATCGCCTAACTATTGCCCAACAATTTAAGGGGTCTCTCCAATTCGACTATAAATTACCTTAATCGTCATGTCATGCAGTACCGCGGTCACTAGCTAATGAGTGCAAAACTCCCAAAACCGTAAGTGGTTAATGTGAGTATCATTTTGTTCACCGCTCAAACTCTCAAAGGAGGATTTTGTTCATCTCTCCTAGTTGCCTGCCATGTGTTTTATAACATGTAGAGTTTTACAACTCTTTTTTGGTAATTGTTTTAACATGTAGAAGTTTGATGAGAGTGATACAAAAAACACATGGGTCTAAGTGGATCGTATTTGAACAAGTAAATTAAGCCTCTTCTAACTCGGGTTTAATTTTTGTTTCAATTTATCGGCTAATCACTTTATCCTATTTATTTTAAAAAATCGCAAATATATAATCAGCTCTAATCCTATTCAGGAGGAAGTAACTAAAACTTATTTGGTCTAAGTCTGGTTAATTAGGTACAGGTCTGGAATTGAAAAAGGACATTGATGCATGGCATCCCACTGCTCATCTTCATATGCTGTTTTTCAACTCCAGCAGCAAAAAATTGTAAAAATTCTAATGAATTTTGATATATGCTCCAAAAAAAAATTAAATTCTATTCAATTTGCTTAATTGTGTATATATGTGAACACATTAAGCTTGCTAATAATAAGCTACTATTCAAAACGTAAGACAACAAAAATGATAAAAAGTGAGCACTTTATTATATTCAAACTACTCCATATCATTTAATTATTGAAGTTGAATACAACTATATTGAACACAAACACTTCCCTCATCAATTCTCTGAATAGTCAATAACGCTTACAACAATAGGACTCCTAACACTATACTTGCCATTAGTCCATGTAATTGCGCCAAAGACATCCTCCTTCAGAGATTCCACAGCAGTAAAACTCACATTGTAGCTAACCTTCCTTCTCTCTTTGCCAAACACCAACTTATTGGGGGTCACCCCCACCTCGATCCCGGTCAACGCCTCTATAGTCGCAATGTACACCGAGTCTTCATCCCCAACGTTGGTCGCGGTTCTAGTCACTGTCTTGGTTTGACCTTCCATGACCTTAGAGACGGCAATTGAAGGGTAGTTGATGTTGGATATCAAATCCGGGGACATGTTCTTGGGGCACTTGAAGTGTTTTGGCACTTTTGAAGAGATGAGCCTGATTTGAGACGTGTTATAGCCCGTGGCGCATAGGAACATGAAGTAATCCTCGATATCGGTCTCGTAAACGAGCCCGGGGTCTAGTGCTGATGCAGGGTTGATCTGGCCAGCTCCAAATTCGTATGGTGTGGCAGCTAATCCAGATGAGTTTGTTATGGGGGCATTCATGTTGTTTGTCTGTGTGGCTGCAATAACAGTTTTACAAAGAAACGATGAGAAGTTTAGTTGGAAAGACTAAATGTGACACCAAATCTAGGGTAGTATAATTAAAATTATATGAAAATAATCTTTGTTAATACGGAGTAGTACTTTAAACAACAATAATATTACCACGGTGTACGCAGTCTAGCTTACCCTATACTAAAGTAATAAAAGTATAAAATATATAACATTCATAATATTATATTAATCGAAATCATGGTTTTTATATGCACGTACCCGTGGTCATAATGGCAGATTTGATTGCGGAAATGGTGAATGTGGGGTTATGTGCCTTGACATTAGCAACAGTTCCCGAGGTATGGGGGCAAGCCATGGAAGTGCCTGAGATTATATTGTAACCGGGAAGTTTCACGCCGGGGACGGGCGGTGAATGACCGCCGAGAGTCCGATCAGGCCATGCTGCTAGAATGTTAACCCCTGGTGCAGTAATGTCCGGCTGCATGCATGCATATACACAATATATTCAATCCTCTTAGGCTCCAAGCAAATCATACTACGTATATAGTTCCTAAATTGTAAAAAATCGCATTTATGTTCAATGCCCTTTTATTAAAAGTCATTCTTCATAATTAATTGTTTTAAATTCCCTGTATGTTTTGAAAAGAATCTTCAAAATATAAGGATTGGGCCTGATCAGTGTTTTAAATAGCGGTCCGCTACCGCTATAGCGGCCGCTATATTGCAGTCACGGTAGGTACCGGTACCGCTGTAGGCCGCTATCAGGGTGTGATTTTCAAATCACAGGAAAATCCCGCTACGCCGCCCGCTACAGCCCGCTACTGGCACTTCCAGCAGTACATCACGAACTGGTTGATGTGTAAATGTGTAAATGTTGTGTGCATGATGTGAAAAAATACATTAATGGTGATCAGGGCCGTCTAATGAATTTGGAGGCCCCGGTTCCAAATGACAAATTGAGGTCCCTAAGACGAGAACAAATACAAATTTTGACTATGAAGCACAAATAGTTTAGACAATTCAATGAAATATAAATTTTATGATGTTTAAAGTGCATAAATTAGAGAATTTAAAGGTTATATGCCTTCTGGAATCTTGAATAATACATGACATCTTAGAAAAATCAACCTTCAACTAATACTATCTTCTCAATTTTTGGAGGCCCTCTACTAGAGTAGGCCCCGGTGCGAAGCACCTATTGCACCTCCTAAAAGACGGCCCTGATGGTGATGCATCAATTGTTCTAATTATCATTCTCTTTTAATTGTCGAATTCTTATTGGTTGATTAGTTGTTAATGTTATAAGTGTGCAAACAAATATTCATAATGTTTCTATTAACTTTAACACCCATTAAAGATATGTTTTGCGCATTTAAAAATATTTTACGCCGCCGCAACCGCTACAGACCGCTACCGAGATGACCGTTAGCGTTGTCGCTATTTAAAACACTGGGCCTGATAAAGCTGCGGCTCTACTATCATTATTCATTAAATTAAAACCATCTATACAGTTAGTCAAATTATTACTCCATAATTAGGAAGTTAAAGTAATTAAATATGCATGCCTTGAGAAGATTAGTGCTAGCAAGAGAAGGACCCTTTGAAGAAAAGTAGATCACAACAGGAGCTGGTTTATATCCTATACTTGTCACAGTTGGAAGGATCGACGCTACCGGCTTCCTGCATCATCCATTTATTCAGTGTCAATTCCAAGTATTTAAGTGAATATATCATTAAAAAACAATGTATGTAATTTAACAGAAATGGCTCCAAACAGGACTAAAACAGCGGCCAGTGATCCTCGTTGTACATTTTGTCTATGTTTTAGTCATATTAAAAGAATTATGTCTTTTATAATAGGAGTAAGTTGGTATTATTAAGAGAAAAAAATGTAAAAAGTCATATTTTTGCATTATTTATACTTGTAAAGTTTAGGAGTACATACTTGGTGGATGTGAGGTAAGTGAAAATGTCGATGGCTTGCTCTGCAGAAACTGAGGAACCTGCGAAGTCTTTATAGTTTGGAGCTATGGACATATCTTCCTCACTCACTATTTCGATCACTCCAATAGCCTTCATATCTTTTAGCACTAAATATGCCCATGAAAACCCATACTCTCCTGGCAGATATTCACACAGCACAATTTTCCCCTCAACCTTCGCTGGATCTAATGAGTTCCAGAAGCATTGCCTTGCGTCACTCTCACTCGCATTCTTCAACCTCGCCGACGCCCCCGTCACCAACGGGTACACCGCCTTTTTCTTTAGCTTGCCGAAATGAATGCCTTGTCCCTTCATTCATAAAGAATCAAAAGAATATAAGTCGAGTCGTGGTAGAGTCAGAAATGTATTGTTAGGGGACGGGACTAGACAATTTTACAACTCCCAAAGTCTGCTCTGATATGTTTATGACTACTATAGTTTGGTCAAGAATTGAAACTAGTTCAATTAAAAACATTCTGAAGGGTGGTTTTAATGCGTATAATAAGTTAGTTATTACCTTTATAGCTTTATTATACCCTCCTAAGATGATATCTGACTCGAAGTGGCGGTCAACGGTGGAGGCCGCTACAGTGAAGATCCATGGAGCTTCGTTGGTGATGGTGTTAGGGTAGGGCCCGCTGTTTCCTGCAGAGCAGACGACAATGATGCCCTTCTCAACCGCATGGAAGGACCCGATCGCGATCGGGTCCGTCGAGAAATCGGGCGCGGCCCATGCCGGCCGGCCGAGAGACAAGGACAACACGTCAACACCGTCCTTAATGGCATCATCAAAGGCTTTCAAGATGTCGGACCCGTAGCATCCCCCGGACTCGTCACAGACTTGGTACATTGCGATCCTTGATGCAGGGGACCCGCCCCGGGCGGTCCCTAAAGCGAGCCCGTAGTAAGAAGCGCCTTCAACTAGGGAGCCTGCAGCCGTAGAGGCAACATGTGTTCCATGCCCGAAAAAGTCGCGGGGTGACCCGTTTGTCACGTTACGGGTGTTCGAATAGTACCTTGCTCCAATTATTTTCCTGCCCCATAATAAATTTACACCCAAAATTAATGAAGATGTAGACTAGATAGTTTGAGGCCACATGTTGAAACCCAAAAGTTAAGCCAAAGTATATATATCATATAAAGAAAACTGAGTTTCCATTTGATATTACAAAAGTACAAAATTTAGTGTTCTCATTAAAACATTTTTGTGATTATGAAAAAGGGTCAAAGTCTAATATCATTGACCAAAAAGTCAAATATAACAAATTAAAACACATAAACATACCTGTTACAGTTGAGGGAAGCATTGAAATCATGGCCATTTTCGCACACTCCTTTCCAGCGGGCCGGAATGGGTCCCATGCCGAAGTCATTGAAACTATGAGACTCCGGCCATATTCCTACACATAAATATATACACATAATTTAACACGTATTATCTACGATTAAGATCAGACTTGAACTTTCATTCTAAAAAATCAACCCGGCTGACAGTAGAATTAACCCAAAGTCTTATATAGTGTTTTATTGTTTTATAGTTTTCCGGTGTATGACAATACTCTAACATCTACTCTATGTAAGTTTATATTTTGACTTTTGTTAACTTTGACCATAAATTATTCAAAAATAAGAGCATACGGTAGGTTATTCAAATATTAATTTATTATAGATAATTATATAAATCTATAATGTTAAATAGTACTGGATCGAAGTAGTAGTGAAATGTCGATTTTGAAAAACGTGAAATTTTGGACTTCGTTGCGGGATGGAAGTAGTATAAACTAACAATAACAATGTGTTTAGCTATATATAGAAAAATGTGACATTAGTTTTGAAGGAGAAAAAGGTGACATTATTTTTTGGAAGAAAAAAATAATAATCGGGTAGTATAAACTAAGTAACAATAACAATGCGTAGCTATAGAAAAATGTGACATTTTTTTTGGAAGTATTATAAACTAAGTAACAATAACAATGTGTGTAGCTATAGAAAAATGTGAAATTATTTTTGAAGGAGAAAAAGGTGACATTTTTTTGGAAGAAAAAATAATAATCGGGTAGTATAATTAAACTAAGTAACAATGACAATGTGTGCAGCTATAGAAAAAGGTGACATTTTTTGTGTGGAGAAAAAGGTGACATTTCTTTTTTTGGAAGAACAAGGTGACATTAATAATCAATTAGTTTTTTTTTTTTAAATTTTTTGTTGAAGATTAAATTAAAATAATTGTATATAGACCTGTATCTAAAAAGCCTATGATGGTGTCTTGTGGGGTAGAGGAAGAAGACGACGTAGCAGAGGCGGCAAAATGCGGCGGCGAAGATGGCTTCTGCTTGGGGTCAAAGTGTTGACCAGAAAAGAAGTCAAGGAAATCCCACGACCGGGTGGTGTGGAGCTGGAGAATCGGGTCGGGGAAAACGGACACCACACCGGGCTTTTGAGCAATGGACTGGGCCTGTTCCTCGGTCAAACGGGCCGCGAAGCCCGAGAACCCGTTTGTATAGGTGTGCACCAACGCGGTGCTTTCAACGAGTTTGGTGATGAGGTGGGCGCGGTGGTTTCTGGTGGCGGTGCCGGCATTATTACTAGCCGCGCCGCCCATGTAAACGATAAAAACGCCGTCATTAGTTGCCGGAGCAAGTGTTTTGTGTTTGGAAGGAGGAGTGGACCCCTTATAAACAGATTCTCCGGTACGAGAGAGAAGGAAGAGAGAGAAAAACAAAACCACTCGGAATCTCTTCATGTTTAGCTTAGCTTTGGAATGTTCTGTGTTGTTGTGGTCTTGTGGATGATGACTTAGCAAACAATGCGTGCGCCTCCATATATATAGTGAGATGGATTTGTGTGTGTGGTGTTTAGGCACGTGTTTAACATTCAAATAATCAAATGCTATTTTAGTAAAAAAAAATTAAAAGTGTCGTTAATATAATTACTACCATGTATTATACAAATCAGGTGATCATTCAAAAAGAATATATGAAAGCTAGATGGATGGAAAACAATGATCAATACATGACTTACTTTTAACCGATTATATATTATACACAGTGGTGGAACCAGAACAGTTTTTGAGCAGGTGCCGGTGTTTACCTAAAAATTACAGAGTATACAACTATAACTTCATATACTCCCTCTGTCCCGCAAACAACTTCCCACTTTCCTTTTTGGGCAGTCCCAAAATTAACTTCACACTTCAATAGTTTTCTTATTTGGCAAATTATCTACATCAAAACAGTGCCAAACAGTGTCAAAGTGTGAACTTAATTGCGGGACGAAGGGAGTAGTAATTACTTAGTTACATAAAACTTGATTCATTAGAAGCCCGTTTGGTAGCCCTACTTTTCGGATTATCAGCCTTATCAATCAATTTTTTTCACCAAATACGTAACTTTTGATTTGGTGTGCTGAATTGTGTAATAATAAAAAATACGGAGTAGTAAGATTGGAGTCTTTTCTGGCTTTATTGGCTGAAGTTGCTTTTCAGCCGATTTTGATATTACCAAACGACCTCTAATTTAAATGACTTCATAGACTAAGTTTATATTTGATCACTAGTATATAAATTTTTAGACATTCCAACTAAAAAATTTCATTTTTATTTTAGAAATAATTAGCATTCTTAAATGATAAATTATTCGATCAAATTTTGAAATAGAAAACTTACAACATCACAGTTATTATCATTAACCTCATTATTTTCATCAGAAACAATTCTCAAAATAGATTGCAGTTACCTAATTTAAGTATGATCTACATAAATGTCTTTATATCATATATATACAAATTTGTCGTAAACATCAGTAATATACAACTGGGAAGCGTATACCATACAGCCGGCTGTACGGCTGGCACCGTACAGCCGGTGGCAGTTTTGTAATTTTCATGAAGTTCGTGGTTTCTCGTAAATGAGCATTGATGTAATTTTGATGAGCATCGAGCCTGTTCTTCTGAGTATTAAAAGCCTAACAATGAGCACCAGTGATCTCTGCTTCATATTTTCTAATTCGGTTTCTTTTTATGATTTTTTCATTTATAAAAATTAAAAATCTTAAATTATGTTTATAATTAATGTCAATATGTGAATCTAATGTAGTATGATATGTTTGATATGTGCATCATTTTAAAATGAGCATAAAACAGTACCAAATGAGCATACATAATTTATAAAATGAGTATTAAAAAAATTCAAAACTTTATTTGTGTATGCTCATTGATTTTGGGCGTATATTTGATATGTGCATCATTTTAAAATGAGCATAAAACAATACCAAATGAGCATACATAATTTACAAAATGTGTATCAAAATATTAAAAACTCATTTTTGTGTGTTCATTCATTTTGGGCATAATACTCATTTGAATTTAACTTAAAACTCATTTTGAAATATGCATGAATATGACATTTTAAAAAGAGTATTGTACTAATATCAAATGAGTATACATAAATTACGAAATGAGCGTTCAAAAAACTCATTTGAGTATGCTCATTCATTTTGGGTGTTATACTCATTTCAATTTTACATGAAACTCATTTTCAATGTGTTCAATATTAGTTTGTGTGAGTTCATTTCTTTTAGGCGTATACTCATTTCTTTTAGGCTCATTTAAAATCACCACCATGCTCAAACTTTTATTTGCGTATGCTCATATCTTTAGAATTACGTACAACCTAGGTTATCCCTGACCCAAAATCCACCAAACTAAAATAATCAGTGTGAGAAAAATAAAAAAAGGAAAAAGAAAGGAACATAACGTGCGAAGTTAAGGACGAAGCTGAAGGAGAGCTGCTGAAGGGTTGCGGTTGTCGAAAAAGGGAGAGGTGCTAGTAGGCGGCGAGCAACGGAGCAAGGATGATCGGCCATGGAAGCTTGCGATGGAAGCCCTGCGATGACGGAAGTCTGCGATGGAAGCCTGCAATTCGCGAACTAAAAGTCCGGCTGTACCGTGCGCACGGTACAGCCGACTGTACCATATAATTTGCGATACAACTGTATACGGAGTACAATAGTACTTTAGAAATTTAGTCAACAATTACACAATTCTAAAATTATTGAATTACATAAAGTAAATCAAGAATAAAACATTAAAACATTAAAACTACACAACCAGTAAAAGTAAAATTTACCCTCACGGCTTGAGGCTTCCACTAATAAAATCGCACCGGAAGCAGACTCGAGTCTTGATACTCCATTACTCCCTATTAGTTATACGAGTACTATATAATTAGATGTCGTTTTCACTAGATTTGGTGTCGTTTTATTTTTCGGTAGCTTCACTAGTTTCCCGTTTCACTTAAACAAACGATAGCGTTTAACTAAATGAAATTAAAAACAAAAAAGGCTAAAGAGTCAAATAGGTACATGAACTAACTTAAAGTGTTCAATTAGCCCCTTATATAGGAGGTTCTGCCCGGCCGTCGCCGATTGGGGCGGTTCCCGGTGGAATTTTTTTATGAAATTTTTTGAGCATCTTCTTCATTAAGTCTAGTTTACCCATACCAAATTTCAGCTAAAAATTCAACCGGGAAGGCAGTCAAATGATTTTCCGAAATGTGTTGCGCTGTTTAACTGCGCAGTTATATTCAAAAAATCATTTGACTGTCTTCTCGGTTGAATATTTAGCTTAAATTTGGTATGGGTAAACTAGTCTTAATGAAGAAGATGCTCAAAAAATTGCATCAAAAAATTCCACCGGGAACCGCCTCAATTGGCGTCGGCCGGGCAGAACCTCCTACATAAGGGGCTAATTGAACACTTTAAGTTAGTTCATGTACCTATTTGACCCTTTAGCCAACAAAACAGTCTTGGCAAGGAATTAGGCTCTGCGCCGGCGAGCTACTGAAGAAGATGGAAGTTTCAGGGATAGGGGCGCGGGCGGATAACCACATATATATACCATGAATCTAGCGGCGAAGGAGGGGCGCCGGCACCGGCTCGCCCCTCCCTGGTTCCGCCGCTGATTATACACAAAAATATTGATGATATAAAAATGATATGAGAATATTTTTTGTTAAAAATATACTCCCTCCGTATTTCAAAGATCGCTAAGTTTGGTTATGACATAAGATTTAAGGTAGAATAGTAAGGGTAATGAATACTATAGAAAAAGTAGGAGAGAAAGTGAAAAAGTAAGAAGGAAATGATAAAAAGTATAAAATGTAGAGTAATGGAGTATTTTTAAAGAAAAAATTTACCAAAAAGGAAAAGTGTAGGGAACTTTTAAATACGGAGGGAGTATATTATCATAAAAGTATAAAATTAATAAATTTTACATAAATATAACAATTAAAAATAATTGCTCAAAATTTATCATTTTAAATGGATAAGTAAAAAATGACTAACTAAAATGGGATGAAGGTATTATGTATGTCTTCGCAATCACGCAACGATAAAATAACCCTACTGACAAACACATTCATACCACATTATATTGTTAGCGATCAGAATTGGACCCGGATAATAGATAATACGATGTACTGCAACTATATTTACAATTAAAAACACCTCATTTATAGTATATCTATATATAAGAAATATAATTGCATATAATAATTTAGTAAAAGTAAAACATATATCATGCTGACAAATATGATTTAATGATATTTTATTTCAATGTTAAGACTCGTTTTAAGTATCCTAATAATAGAATAAAAGTTTATTTCGTGATTGAATGGATTATGATTTGAAAAAACAATAATAGTTGTATTGAGGATATATATACATGTGTTACAAGTATATTTTGATCTTACTCCGTATTTGTGAATTTTCTCTATAATATTCTTGAGTATGTTACAATAATAATAGAAATTAAAATTATAGACCTGGTTAATTAATAAAACCGCTATTAGCCTTAAATGGGACTAAAAGTAGCCCAAAATTCTACATTAGGACTACACTCCTTTTATTCTCAACAGTGCCGATCCTACATAAACTGGGGCCTGAGTCGAGCTTTCATAAAAGGGCCCTATACAAAGTATTTGTTTTGTAATACAACATATTTAGAAATAGAGGATTAATATCACAAAAACTCAATACTTTAAATAAAATTCTTACGTTATAACATTAAAAAAATCACAATTTTGATTAATTTTGGATTGAAAATTACACAATTTTATCACGATAATCTTAATAAAAATAGATCTAAATTCTCAAATATAAAATATCAATTGCAAGGCATGAGCCTGCTTGAATAGTTTGTAAGACAAATAAGAATCAACTTGCTTTTAGTTTTTAAATAGCATTTGTTTATGCATATACTTCAAATCCCAACCAATAATATAAGATTTAGTAAATAGTTATAGAAAATAGTTATAGAAAATAGAAGTTAATAAGTTAGTTCATTTGGGTATTTACAAATCAATAATTCATCAAATTAGCAAATCATACTAAAAGCTAGATTTTTGGAAATAATAACATATCGACAAATTTGGGACTTCATGTTTGTACTTCACTACTTCATTGATAACTCTATTGTCTCGCTTGTTTTTTAGTACATATAGGGGTTGTTTTGAAATGATTTTGATTCTGTTTCTTTTTTAAAGCAGAAGCAGAATAAGAATCAGAATTAGTTTTCAGAAGTCGGTTCCCCCCAACTTCTAAAAAATGATTCTATGAGTAAATTAGAGTATCAAAATCAGTTTTGCATTTTTATCCAAACACTCCAACTTCTGCTTCTGCTCTCTCAGATAGCAGAAGCAGTTTTAAAATCAGATCCAAACATCCCCATATAATATAAATGTTTTTTAAGTTTTTGGGCCCCTAATTTTTAAATTTTTTTGGGGCCCTG